GATTAAAAAAGTTTGAATGAAATTAGATGTTTAATAAGAAGAACCTTGAACAATAACGTTGATACTAAACATAACGCAACAATAATCTTTTTTCGAATTATTCGAGTAACTGATCTTGACATGTCTTGCAGGTTCACCGTCGACTCCCGCAAATATTTATCTCGTTGTCCCGGAAACTTTGATTTACACAACACTTGTGCTCGCGTAATGCGAATAGTTTAACATCTCAGAGTTATCTAGTCATATTTGGTGTTAAATAATGTGTCAAATTATGCTCTAATACAATTCATAATATTTCTGTATAAAAAAATAGAACGAATACTAATACATAATGTTTTGTAAAAAATAAGTTACTAAAATTGGAAATATAAAATCGTAATCGTTCGTAAATAATTTATTACTTCGTAAATTTCTAGGAATTTTAGTTTTGATACGCACAGGATTCGTGTATAGTGAGTAGCCATATGATGCGAGTATTTGTACGATGTTTGATCTAAAACATAAAAGCAAAACTACAAACAATATTTATAAACAGTTAATTGACAAAACAGTGGCTTCTCAAATATTATAATTGATTTTTAGCTAAAATTTTAGCCGTTTTTGGAAAATTTTTTTAAACTCCCAGTATACCAGGTGTATGCATAAGTTTTTTCCGGTTTAACTAAGAGATGGCGCCAGCGAAAAGTACGCAGCGTATTAATTTGACACATACGTCATTTTGTTCGTCTGACATTTAAAACTACAAACACACACAAGTTGAGTCCGCCAAAAACTAGCGTCTTTGTTTTATCGTTCAGTGATCATGTCGAGTTTTGTGCCTGAAAAAGAACATTTTCGGCACGCATTGCTTTACTTATTTAATCAAAAGAAAAAAGGCTGTGGAAAGTCATCGTTTGATGGTAGAAACATATGGTGAACACGCTTCATCGATTAGAACATGTGAGACATGGTTTCGACAATTTAAAAATGGTGATTTCAATGTGAAAGACAGTGAGCGCTCTGGTAGAACACAAAAATNTGGTAGAAACATATGGTGAACACGCTCCATCGATTAGAACATGTGAGACATGGTTTCGACAATTTAAAAATGGTGATTTCAATGTGAAAGACAGTGAGCGCTCTGGTAGAACACAAAAATGCGAAAACGAGCAATTGCAGGAGTTATTGGATGATGACCCAACTCAAACTCAACGGCAATTAGCAAAAGCATTACATGTATCACAAGAAACAATCAGCAGACGTTTACGAGCTATGGGAAAGATCAATAAACTCGGTAAATGGGTCCCATACAATTTGTATGAACGTAAAATGGAAAATCGCAAAGTCACTTGTGAAATGCTGCTTCAACGCCACGAAAGGAAATCATTTTTGTATCGAATTGTGACGGGTGACGAAAAATGGATTTATTTTGAAAACCCGAAGCGGAAAAAATCGTGGCTTTCACCTGGCGAAGCCGGTCCATCAACACCAAGGCCAAATCGCTTCGGCAAGAAGACCATGCTCTGTGTCTGGTGGGACCAGAGCGGTATTGTGTATTATGAACTCTTGAAGCCCGGCGAAACCGTTAATACACAACGCTATCGCCAACAAATGATTAATTTAAACCACGCATTAATCGAAAGACGACCGGAATGGGCCAGAAGACATGGCAAAGTGATTTTGTTACACGACAATGCGCCGTCTCACACAGCAAAACCAGTGAAAGACACCTTGAAATCGCTTGGATGGGACATCCTTCCGCACCCGCCGTACTCCCCAGACCTGGCGCCATCTGACTATCACCTCTTCGCATCAATGGGGCACGCGCTCGCAGAGCAGCACTTCAGCAATTTCGAGGAAGTTGGAAAATGGCTCGACGAATGGTTTGCCGCAAAAGACAAGCAGTTTTTCTGGCATGGTATTCATAAATTACCTGAAAGATGGGCGAAATGTGTAGAAGCCGATGGTCAATATTTTGAATAAAAAAAAATTAATTTCCCTTGAAAATTACGTGTTTTTTTTTACCAAAAACCGGAAAAAACTTATGCATACACCTGGTAAACGAGCCTTTTTAAATTGCGCGTCCATAGGCAGCGTGAGTCTGCAACGTTTTGGACAGTGGAGGAGGGTCATATGGAAAACAGTAATAACGTTGGCGCGCCACGTTCTTCTTAGTTGCAACAGCAATCATGATGAGCGAGAAAGAGGTATACCCTGCAGTTGCACAACGGGGTATTATTCAGTTTCTTGTCAACGAAAATGTAAATGCTGCTGAAATTCGCCGCCCTTTATTCGCACAGTTTAGGGAAAGAACCCTTTCATAGGCTTTGGCGAAGCAGTGGTGTAAAAATTTAAGAAAGGACGGGAGCGTGTTGAAAACTTTGCCCACCCACGCAGTCCCTGCACCAGCATCATAGCGCAGAACACCGAGGCTGTTTGAGAACTTATCGAAGGCGATCGGCACTTAATTGTTTTTGAAATTTTTCAGGAAGTTAAGTTCGAGCTGCCTATAGGTCAAAAAGGCGCGGCATTTTGATCAGAAGTGTGTTGCTTCTCTATGACAACCCTACACCGCAGCAGTAACATAACAAAAAGTAGCCATTATGCAGTGGGCTGTCCTAGAACATCCATCCTACAGCCCAGACTTGTCACCATGCGACTTCAACATGTTTGGGGCACTCAAGGAAGCCCGTGGTGGACAGCGCTTCACAACAAACGAATAGGTGCAGCAGTTCGTGTGCAATTTGTTTAAAATACGTCCGCGAACTTTTTATGACAACGGGATTAAAAAATTACCAGATCGTTGAAGGAAGTGTATATATGAGATAGGGGACTATATAGAAAAATAAGAAAAGTATAAATTCGAATTGATTATGAAAAATATAGGGTTTTCTTGCAAAAGGCTCATTTATATTTGATCCACCCCCGTATAAATATATTTGTATATGAACAAATTTGCTATATCTATTTCTTGCCTGTATTTGAAAATATCACGAATTGGTGAGATGAGCCTTTTTATTTAATGTTGGTACTACAGGATCGCGTCAGAGAAGAGTTCAATATTGTGATGCAACTGTCAGGGATGCTATTGACTATTGCGTTATTACAGGATCTATCGTACTTACAAGATTTGTCCGGAAAGTAATGTCATTGAGTCGATTAAAAAATATTTATTGAACTTTTTGTTACAACACATTAAAATTCTTTAAAAAATAGGCTCCTCCTGCGTTGACACATCGGCTCCAGCGCGTTTTCCAGGCATCGAATGCGCCACGGTAGGCCTCCTTCGGAATGTCCTTTAAAGCCGCGGTGCAAGCTCCTAGGATTCTCTTAATGGTTTCGAAATGCTTTCCTTTCATGGGTCATTTCAGGCGTGGAAACAGAAAGAAGTCGGGGGGAGTGACATCCGGACTGTACGGAGGCTGGGAAGTCGTTGGCACCCTTGCTTTGGCCAGGTAGTTGGTGACAAGGAAGGAGCTGTGGGCCGTTGCATTGTCGTGATTCAACTTCCAGTCCTTTGTGATGTCCGGCCGGACGCGTTGAACTCTAATAACTGTATTTAATAACTGTGACAGTAAACGGACATTCAGTCGTCGGTCTGTGTTCAAAAGTTCTTTCACTCGCGTCACATTGTCGTCCGTGGTGCTTGTCGATGGCCATCCGGCGCGGGATTTGTCGTCGACCTATTCCAGGTCTTCCAAAAAAATATGGTGCAACCGGAACACTTGCCGATCCGACAGGGCATCTTCTTAAAAAGCTTGATCATTGGAAGAGTTTCCGCCGCGGTCTTGCCAAGTTTAACGCAAAACTTGATCATCATCCTTTGTTCTAACAAGCGCTGCATTTTTACTTGCACGAGGTCACAAAACGACTTCCACGGAAACGCATGTCCTTACAATGCGGCTGGCGGGAGAAGAATGAGTGACTCAACATTCGTTAGCTGACTTTCCTCTACCATTTCCAACCGATCCGAGCGCGCTTTGACGGTCAGTCGCGTAAAAAAGAATCGCTCACATTACTTTCCGGACAAACCATGTAGAATGCTGTTTGAAAGAATCATTGCGGCTATACCCTAGCATACATTTCATTTCGCGATGTACTGCGGAGGATGTAAAATTACGTGCGTATTTAACAAAAAAATCTTTTTGAAGATGTAAACATGTTTGAAATATTTCTAACGTTTCAAAATTAATTGGGTAATTATATCAGCATGCCATGCTTGAGACGTACTAAATAAGCGTCGATTAATATTTCATATTATACGTAGGTACTAGGTACTATCGTAATCTTCAATTTTCGTCCGTAAATTATACCTAATTAAACACATACACATTTTGCAGAATCACATTTAATATCCGGAAAAATACCTTTGCATCTTAACATATTCAACGTTCACAGAGATGTCAATTTTTGGCCGAATCCTGAAATATTTATTCCAGATAAATTCTTGCCGGAAAAAAGTACGAAATCGCCATCCTTATTTGTTACTGCCGTTCGATACGAAACCAAGGAATTGTATATGTAAGCTCGGGTAATTTTCACTTCTCTATGTGCCGACAGATTCTGATGTGCGAATTATGAATAACAGTCCAACGATATGCTATGTTGGAGATGAAAGCCTTTATAGGCCCTCTCGTGCCCAATTTTTATCCGGAGCCAGTCGATTATTCAAAGGACATACAGATAATTCCTGATTTGATATTCCTATCTAAATATCCAATGCGTATAAAATTTGTTCCAATATAAGTTGCTTGATGTGTGCGGATTCGACTTGAAGTGTACGGATTTTACAAGAGGAAGGAGCAAATGCGTGTATTAAAAATGAATTATTAATTTAACTGTTATACGAGGGCAAGGTGAAAATTTCTTGGCCTGACCCAGAAATGGCATTCCAATCGGCGAAAGTTTACGTTTCCTGCCTGCGCGCACATATCATTAGTTCATATGACAAGCTTCAACTTGCTCGCTCAAGTAGTGTAAACGAGTTTTTGCAGTACACGTCTTGCGCGTGTTTCGTTAAAATGGATAAATTTGAATATCGTGCGGTCATAAAATTTTTCGTTTTGGATGGGTTAACCCCTAAGGAAATTCATTCGAAGTTAACAAAAGTTTACGGGAACTCTGCTCCTTCAATTTCAACCGTTAAAAAGTGGGCAGCTGAATTTAAATATGGTCGCACGTCGCTCGAAGATAACCCACGTGAAGGACGGCCAAAAACTGCAACCACACCGGAAACTATCGAAAAGGTGCACAATATCGTGTTGGATGATAGGCGAGTAAAGTTGTGTGAGATAGCTGAGGCCGTGGGTATATCGGAAGAAAGGGTGCGAAACATCTTGCACAAAGAATTAGGTATGCGAAAGCTCTGCGCAAGATGGGTGCCGCATTTGCTGAATGCGGATCAAAAGCATATGCGCAAACGACATTAGCAGGAATGTTTGGATCGATACAAGAGGGATCCGACCGATTTTGTGCGGCGATTTGTCACCATGGATGAGGCATGGGTCCACCACTACACGCCAGAAAACNTGCGCAAGATGGGTGCCGCATTTGCTGAATGCGGATCAAAAGCAAATGCGCAAACGACATTCGCAGGAATGTTTGGATCGATACAAGAGGGATCCGATCGATTTTGTGCGGCGATTTGTCACCATGGATGAGACATGGGTCCACCACTACACGCCAGAAAACAAACAGCAGTCGAAGCAGTGGGTGGAAGCCGGTGGTTCAGCGCCAAAGAAAGCGAAGTCGATCGCATCTGCCGGAAAGGTCATGGCCAATGTGTTTTGGGATGCCAAAAGGATCCTGTTGATTGATTACCTTGAAAAAAGCAGAACAATTACAGGCGAATATTACTCTAACCTTCTTAACCAGCTCGATGTCAAAATTCGCGAGAAGAGGCCTGGCTTGAAGAAGAAAAAAATCATCTTTCACCACGACAACGCACCTGCACACAAAAGTGTGTTGGCAATGGGGAAACTGCGGGATTTGAGGTACGATTTGCTCGGCCATCCCCCCTATTCTCCTGATTTGGCACCCTCGGACTTCCATCTCTTCCCAAACCTGAAGAAATTTGTTTCTGGAAAACGCTTCGCGTCCAATGAAGAAATTGAGAGGGCCGTAGATGAATATTTTAACAGTCTTCCAGAATCTCACTTCCGGGAAGGAATACTGATGTTGGAGAAACGCTGGACCAAGTGTGTTGAAGTCAAGGGAGATTATGTAGAAAAATAAAATCTCTTTTTATCTGAAAATCACAGTCTTTCATTGTCAGGCCGAGAACTTTTCATCTTGCCCTCGTATATAAGGAGCTAAATGTTAAAGAAGTGCCAGGTTTGGATTTAATTAACGGTGAAGTATTAAAGGAACTGCCAACTGAAGACATAAGATTACTAACGATTGTATACAATACTCTACTTAAACTAAGTCATTTCCCAGTTATTTGGAAAGTGGCACACATAATATTGATACCTAAACCAGGCAAAGAACCGGAAAAACCAACTTCTCATAGAACTATCAACATGCTACCAATTCTAAGATCTTTGAAAAGTTGTTGTTAAAAAGAATTAAACCAATCTTGGAAAGTAAAATCTCATACCTGAGCACCAGTTCGGCTTCCGCAAATAACACGCCACAGTGGAAGAAGTGCAAAGAGTTGTACGTGAAATTAATAAAGCATTAGAAGAGAAGAAATACTACTCTGCAGTATTTCTGGACGTAACTCAGGCCTTTGACAAAGTGTGGAACCTAGGGCTTTTATATAAGATTAAAATAAACTTACCGCACAGCTAGTACCCAATACTAAATTCGTATTTAATTGAAAGACGTTTTCCAGTAAGCTACCACGGCGAAAATTCGGAACTAAGGCCTATCAAGTCTGGTGTGCATTAGGGAAGCGTTCTCGGTCCTTTGTTCTTTCTTTTATTTACTTCGGCATTACCAACGTCTCAGCAAGCTATCACCAGAACTTTTGCAGATGACATAACTATACTAACCTTATATAAGCATCCTGAAATTGCATCAAAAAATTTACAGAGAAATATCTCTGACCTGCAAACTTGGTTTAACACTTGGCATATTAAGGCCAACGAGCAGGAATCTGTACACGTAACCTTCACGTTAAATAAAGATATGTGTGCTCCGATCCAACTGAACATCAAGGAGATTCCACAAGCTGAATCAGCTAAATTCTTGGGCATCCACTTAGACCGTAGACTAATGTGGAGAACCCACACATTGAAAAAAAGAATGTAGGTAGACAACAAACTAAAAAAGATGTATTGGCTCCTGGAACGCAAATCTCAGTTATCCTTGAACAATAAAGTTCTGTTATACAAATCAATCATCATGCCGGTGTGGACATATGGAATACAACTGTGCGAGTCAACCTCCATTTCTAATGTAGAAATCTTAGAAAAATTCCAATCTAAGATACTTTGAATTTTGACTAATGCACCCTGGTTCGTCACTAATGAAATCTTACGATGAGACCTGGCAGTCGTTTCCGTCAAAGACATGATTAAAACTTACGCTGCGAAGTATGCACTAAGATTAGCTCTTACCCCAACTAACTCGCCTCCAAGTTACTCTCTGAAAAATAAGATAAACGGAGATTAAAGAGATTTAAACCATTAAATTCTTCCAGTAGATTTGAATAATATCCTTAATATTGAAAACATTATATGTCTATAGATAAAACCGACCTTATTTTTAAGAATTGTAATTGTAAAAGCGTATTCCAATGGGAATATGTTTGCATGTTAATTTCTCTATTATATGTTTTACTTATTGTTTTAATGACAGATTTTGAATACCAGGTGTATGCATAAGTTTTTTCCGGTTTTTGGTAAAAAAAAA